TCGACCCAACGGGCCGATCGCCGCGGACTTTCACTTCAAAGAGGCTTGGCGGCCTCACTGCAGCGCCTTGGGGTGCCTCCTTGGCCGCTGACTGGAAGCGAGTGGCGTTGGGATGTGGGGCGGTGTCGCGGCCGATGGGCACTGCGATTGGTCCAGATCTTGGGCGCCTCCTTGCCCGATGGCTGGTGGATCGACCACCGATTGCCTCCGCGGATGCGTCGTGGGCTTGGCGGGGCAAGGCCCGTTCGCTGGGAGGTGGGCCCGGCTTTCGCTTGGGGATCGGCCCCGGGCGGCTGCTTGGTGTCCGGTGGAGGCGCGGAGGCGGAACGGGCACAGAACCCACGATAACAGGTTCACACAGCTTCCCGCGGGGCCGCACATTTGGTCCCCCTGCGGGAAGTACTACAACAACCACAATTAAGTTGTAAATAAACTCCAACGTAGTTTGTTCACCGCCCAGCCCCACTGTGAGGGCCAGAGCTGGGAATAGCCATGTAGTTTAGGAAACCATTGTACTTGTGAGGGCCGTAGCTTAGAATGCTCAAATGCACTAGGCAATCCCTTGTATTAAATCAGTGTGTACCATAGACAGATGGTTAGGGCTGCGAATAGGGTGAGACAATGGGTCGCTTGGGGTGCGACGGGAACCAAGGAGGCACACGGGGAACCAAGGGGACAAATGGGGACACCAAAGGGCACAACACGCTGACAAAGGGGTTATGTAAACCCCAAGTAATAATCATGTCAGCGGCCGCTCGGCTGGCCAGCCGACGGCCTATATAAACAGGGCACCCAAGTGCCCAAACTGTAATCCAAAATTGCCGCCACACTTCAGAGCCGTTTGCCGCTGCCTTGCCACCTCCCTCATGGATACTCGCAGCCGTCCACGAGCCCGTCGCTCAGGACTTTCAGTCGCTGCCACACGGGACAAACAAATCGCCGAGCAATCTGCCGGAGGCAGTTTCGCCCCTTACACCCACCCACCGGTCCACTTGAGCGAGCATGTTTGCGCGAGCAATGTGTATTTTTACGCATTTTTACGCGTAAAAACGTAAAAACTGTTTTTACGCGTAAAAACGTAAATACGATCAGTTTTTACGGCGTAAAAACCAAGCCTGGTCTACTCTTCATCGTCGAGGCTATCGCTGGAGGGGGAGCTGGTGGTGGATCCTGTCGCAGGTGCGTTCATGTGCGTTGGCCAGCCGTTGACTGCATGTGGAAGATCAGGTCTTGGAACGTATGCCATGTAGCTGGGGTAAGATGCCGCCGTGTAGACCGCGTGCGGCTGTGGGTAAGGCACCTGGGGGCAGATCGCCGGCGGAAATTGCGCGTGGCCAAATGGGAATTGCGGCTGGACTGGCGGAAATTGAGCCTGGGCCAGCGGATATTGAGCCTGGGTAGGCGGAAACTGCGCCAGGGCCGGCGGAAACTGCGCTTGAACCGGTGGGTAGCTGGGGTACGATCCCTGAGGGAATGGTGTTGGCAAAGCCGGCGGATAGGGTGCGTGCTGGTACGTCCCCTGAATCGGTGGGTAGGGCGGCCCCCAATATGCTCCCACCTGGTGGCATGTGCGACGGCGCTTGGAGCCATCAGGATTCCTTTTACCGGCACTGTGGCACTCCTTGCGCTTTTTCCCAGGCTGTGGTGCATCAGCGGATATTTCCGTTGTCGAAGGCTTCAAACTTCCAGCCATGACTGTCCCCACTGCCTTGGTCGCATCCATGAGTTGTTCCGCGTCCAAAGGGTTATATGCATCCAGGCTTCTACCATCCCTCCAGCCTCCTAAGAATTTCAAACAGGCTGTCACCCCACTGGTGTGTAGAAAACGACGGCAGCAAACGATGCTTGCGCGAAACGCTGCGCAAAATGACAACTCACCTACTCCGCGTCGGACTTGTTCGTTGAGATGCGCCTTCCCAATATGCTGCGCAACAGTCTGGCGCCCACACTTTGCGGTGTGTCGTGTCTTTTCGCCATCCTTGCTGAACATGTATTTCCACCTGGTTCTGATGGAGTTTTCACCCATTGGCAAGAGATTGTGGTACCATGGCTTCTTGGAACCTCTTGTCCACTTCTTGTTGGCAGTCAACAAGAGCCGCGTGTTGGACATCTGGTCCGGGTCGCAAGGCGTCAAGCGTTCCCAATATCTAAGGAACAAGTGATATGGGTCCCGCTCTACCAGTAGATCGGCATTCTTGATCAACAATCTGTTTGCTGGCTGGGCTTCTTTCTCTCGATACGCGCCTTGGTAGTTCTTCATCTGCATTTTGGCTGCCTCAAACTCAAAAACTGGGGCTTGCGTGCCCGTCGATTCACTGATCACAACCATGTTGTGGGCAACACAATCCCGTGTGATCTTGTAGTCTTCGGGTCTTGGGGCATATCCAAGGGCAAACGCCAGTAATGCTCCGTTCAACACTCCATTTGGAGTGTCGTCGAGGTTCCCATTTGCATAGGCAGTTTCGATGTCTGTTTGGAAGATTGGCGACCCCTTGGTGGACTTGGTAGTCCCCGTCCCTTGAGCTTTAGCACGCTGTCTTCCGGAGCTATCCACTGCATTGTAAACTTGGCAAAAATATGTGTCAGCCTGGTCCTGGAGATTGACACGAGTAACTCGGTTGAAACGCTTCCGCTGTTCCTTTGAAAGCTTGTCGCAACGCTTCCACTTTGCCAGCTGCGCCGTAAAAGCCGATTCCAACCGATTGATATATTGGATCATTGTTCGACTCAACACTCTCGTCTTGTCATCTGACCATAGCGTCGTGATAAATGCGCTCAACCTGTAAGCCAACTTTTCTGGTTCCATCACAAACTGCCAAGCTTCATGCTGCACTTCTCGCCCCACCGTCCTGAACATCCGTCCAAATTTCGATTGTGGACCTTCAATCTTGTCCTGTTGCTCCTCACAGAACTCGCGATACCTCTCAAGCATCCGATCATTCTTTTTCTCAATCCCCGTTGGGAACTGAATGCCAGCCAACTTCTCCAAACTATCAGCCAATGTTTACTGAGAGGTAGGCGCATTCTCTTTGCCAGTTGCTGGAATCGCCTTGCTGCCATTTTCCATGGGCCCACGGGCTAATGAATTGGTGGGCGAAAGCGGTAGTGCAGACTCGTCGACTTTGCCTGCAACTGGCGATCCAACTGACCTCTCGTGTGGCTGTGTGGCCAGGTATTGGGCAACCACTTCGTCACCAATCTCCATTGCAAGCCAATCGGCATTGCCATCAGGCAATGTACAAGGAAGCCTGTTGTACCCTGTCGCATTGAATTCGAACTGCGGTTGCGACAGAGGAGGTAGATCCCAAGCGTCGCCTGTATTGTCTTGATCGCCAACGTCCGGAATTGCTGTGTGGGGAGGGCTTACCCCTGCCCACCTCGCCAGTTCTTCGTCCAATCCGTGCATGCTCGGTTGACCAAGTTGCGGGCGCTCGGCGACTCGGGTTTGGCGCCTTTTGCGTGCACTGCAGCTGAACGTTTCGCGCGCATTTTTGCGGGTCCCGCCACCCTCGCCTCAACGCAGTGGTTGTCGCAGTACTGCGACTGCCTTCTCAGCGCTGGCCGGTGGCGGGCGCCAGAAACGGGACAACGCTGGGAGGGTGGGAATCACTTGGGGGGGGGTGGGAATCGCTAGGGGCGGTGGGACATGTGGTTCTGGTTGACCCTCGTCAACAGGGACGCCCAGTCTGGGCGGCCCAGAGCCACATGTCCCGCCCCCGCGCCAGGGCAAGGGGGGCGGAATCCGCGATTCCGCCCTCCTGGTGCGTGGCCCAGAGCCACATGTCCCGCCCCCGCGCCAGGGCAAGGGGGGCTGAATCCACGATTCCGCCCTGCTGGTGGGCTGGTACTGGCTGATTCCCGCTCCTCTGAAGTATTGCCCTAATGTACTAGCCCCAAAATTGCCGTTGGGACAGTACATAGACAACGGCTGTCTGTCTTGTAACAATCCTTCCCATTTCAGCTCTCTCGCTCACAGTGTGATCTGAGGGCCTCTGGCTCCTTGCCCTTCCGCGTGATCCGCACTGCGTCTGCCTCTCCGCGCCCACCCCACGCTGCCATTCCCAGGAGCTGCCCACTCCACCGCCCGGGATTAACGTGCTGACGGGGGAGCGCTCCTTGAGGAGCTTCACAGTCACAGCTGTTTGATTCCACAAGGGCCCCAATTACTGCACCAATCAAACCGCGCACATTGGATACCATCGATGGCATCCCGATATCGAGCCGGCCAAACCATCCCGTTCTCTTTAGGGTCGTATTATGGCGCCCCGCACCACCAACCCGGTGGCGGCCCCGCGGCTGGGAGCGTTATGCCCAACGTCATGAAAGTCGTAGGCAACAGCATCGTAAAGGAATCAATTCCTGACCCCTCTCTCCGCAATGCGGCACGGTGGACTTGGCTCGTGCTTGGGCGCGGCTCGGCTTGCCAAAACTCGGACACTGACAGTACAGGCGGCGCGCCCTGGCGCGGAGAGCAGTCGGGCAGGGCTGTGAGCATAACGAGGGGCGCGGCCCAGTCAGCGCATGCACCTATGTTAAGTACCACCTAATTGAAGGGTCGTTCAGTAGGCCCCAGTGCCTGTCAACTGGTTCACCGGGCCTCTTTCTCGCGCCGGTTGGAAGCGGCGTATGTGGCGGGGGGTGCCCCCGGCGTTGGTTTGACACAACGCCTCACGCATCATGCGCAAGTCGATGTGAGACTAATGCTCCGAGGTGCAACTGTCGGCACAATTGGCCACGCTCGGGCGCGCGCGGGCCGAGGCCGGGCAACCGCGGCGCTGCCCGCGGCTGGCTCCCCCCAGCTGCCTCTGGAAACTCTGTGTTCACCGCTGGGTATCCTCGGGCCGGTTTAGGGGGCCGCCATCTACCTGCAGACCGATCGGTGCGTGGCGGCACTTGGGTTCTGTGCGCTCTTTTAAGCCCGGGATCACATCGAAAGGGGGTCTGTGAGGCCACAGCGGTGCCGCGGAGCGAGAGGAGGAAGAGGGGCGAAAGGAAGAATCATGGCGCCGATTTCGCGGCGCGTGGCGGCCTGTGTTGCGGTGCTGGCGATGGTGGGCATGGAGGCGGGGGTGGCGTTGGGAGGGTCGAGGATCGGAGGCATAGGCGCAATGGGCGTGAGCGCCGGGAGGAGGCTGCTCCAGGACCGGCTCATGCCATGGGCTATGCGCGTGGCGACATGTGCGCAGCTGCGCGAGGCGCTGCAGTGGGAGGGCCTGCCGAGGGTCATCGTCATGGCGCCGATCGCCTGCGCCGCGGACGAGTGGCCGGAGGCGGTAGTCGTATCCTGGGACGTCGAGATAATGGGCGCGTCGGCGTGGGAGATGAACCGGCTGGGCGATGCGGCCCTGAACGCGTCAATCGACTGGTCGGCCGTGGGCACGGCGGTGGTAGTCACGGGGGGCGCGGAGCTGAAGGTCCACAGCCTGATTCTGCGCCAGAAAGAGTTGAGCGTGGAGATCCCCGAATTTAGGCTGGCTCAGGGCAGCGGGGTGTATTCTGGACTGGCCGTGTCCGCGGCGTCGTGTTCGGGCAGAGCGGAGGGGTACGTGGATGCGGTGTACGGGTGGGTGCGCCCCGTTGTCTTCGGGGGGAGGCAGAGGGCGAGGGCGGTGGGTGCCGGGGCGTTGCTGGTGGAGGACGGCGCCAAGTACGGCGGCAATCTGGACAGGAGCACGACGCGGCTGTGCGCCTCCGCGTTCTCCTGCCCGGACAGCGATTTGGATATCCAGGAGCTCTTTGAGAGCGACTACGTCGACAGTGAGTGCCCGGCAACGGACGGGGGCAACTAGGGGTGGGGGATGATTGTGGCCTTGTGAGATGAGAAGAAGGCTGGCCGATGGGATGTGTTGGCTTGGAGCGGGCGGGCGCTTGCGTGTGTTTGCTCGCCGGGCGTCCAAAGGGGAGGCCGATCCGAGTTGTCGTTGGTGGGCAGCCGGAGTCGGCATGCCCTGAGAGCCCTCCAGGGCGCACGACGCGCCGCGCGGTGATGTGACAGCCCGCGCGTGTAGTTTGTGATGCACGGCCCGCCGGTGGTTTGCGGGTCGGCCCCCTGCGCGACCCGCAAATAATCTGGGGAGCGGATCGGAGCTTTTGACGTGACCGTCTTCCCTACGGTACGATGCGAACGCTGGCCGGGTGAATTCAATTGACCGAAATTGACAAGAGCTCTCTTTGGTGTATTGTTAGTCCTATGGAATGGCCCTGGCCGTCGAGATTGCCGTCTGTGAACACTGTTGCTGGAAACACGGGACAAGGCTCGGTATTTTATGGCCATTTCTTCCCTTAAACGGCGTTTTGTGGCTGTTCACGCAACGTGCACAGTGCAGTTCAAAGCCATCGCCGCCCAGAATTCTGTGCACAACAATCCAACAATCTGTGATATTGAAAGAGGGACGCGGGCTCTCAAGCAAGGTCATTTCATGGTCAATGGGTCCCCACGTTATGGAGAGAGAGGTGCTGTGACTGTCCTGATACCTGCGTTCTTTGTGTGTAAACGCTAAAATGGCAAGCATGGGCCATTTTCAGCGGGCGATAGTGCCGTTGGATTTGCATCGATCTGTGTTTGCGTCCAGCCACGTCCACAGGCTGCAGACTTGCAGGCCTTCTGACCATATCCACAGGTGCCAGGACAAGTGGTGTCCATATCTGCCCGCCAACCCCAAAGTCGTTGATTCACGGTCTCCGCTCAGATGCTGTCACCGACGCTGATCGGTGTGAACGATCCGTTGGGCGACGCTGCTGTGTCTGCTGCCAAGACGTCCCCGCTTTGCAATTGCTGTTGTCTAAGCTGGCGGGCGGCAGGGAACCGCAAGGGCCCTAACTGTATTTGGGGATGATATTTGGAGGGGTTGGCGAAGTTCGCGGAGCGGGGAACAAATCTGTGTGACAAAAGAGATCTCAGAATTTATTTGGCGCAGCGGCCAGGTTGCAAAATACTTACGAGTTTAGATGCCACGATATCTTTGATGCACACACGGAGTTTCGTCTGCGTTGTGGCCTGCAAGGTACAAAAGTTTGTCTTGTTGCGGGTGGACCAAGGAATTCAGAGGTGCGCATGAAACACTGCGCTATACTCCATGGTGCATAAACGCACAACTCTACGCACATCTACGCTCAGATACGGAAAAGATTTTACATACGCCCGAAAACACGAATGTACTTTCGGGTGGAAAACTTGCGTGTGCATTACCACTGTGGGGAGCTGCACGTGTAATCGGATAATCTGTATGGGTCCCTCCACTACATACCGTTGGAACAAACCACGCCCTTAACAGTGGGGGGTGGTAGCCGGGTCTATTGCGCATTATCATATTGTATCTTATCTACAGGCAGCACTGCAGGCCCCTTGGAACTAATGCACCAAGAGCACCAGGAACTCCACAAGTACCTTGCATCGCGTGCCGCCACGTGCGCGATATTGCTGGGCGTGACGCCGTAGGCTGGGGAATTAAAGGAATCCGCGTGAAGGGGGGACGCGTCATGCGACCCAAAATTTTGGGTTTATTTAAATTATTTAAATAATCCTTGATATACACTCACCCGCCCACGACAGAGCACAGTCCTTGCATCTCGGAGGCGATGGCGGGCGCCTAAGCGAGTTTAGGCAATGGCAGCTGCACGTGTTCGAATGGGTGGAGGGCGACCATTCTTGGCCCTTGAGTTGGCGAGTTGGACAAGATGTGGGGAATCTCTGATGAGGAAAAATGGTGAGGCGGAATATTGCCACCAAAATTTGTACCATGGTTGCATTGGCCCAACGCAAAATGTATGTAGACATGGGCGTCTGTACTCTTGCACATGTGTGCGCATAAGTACATGAGCGCAATAGCAGGTCCAATGACGCAAGAAACGGCTAAGCTCGGCCACATCCGCACTGCGGATTCCGCAGCAATTGATGGATGTGTACATGACACATGTCTTCATATGCATTACCCAGGCGCTCACACTTTGTACTGAGGCAAAGCAGAACGCACGCGCGCACATAGACACGCAGGGTACAATTATACGCATCATGTACAAGCATTTAAAAGGGCAGACGTGCTTGGAAATGCTCCTTTGCCGTGTTCATCAAAGTACGGCGAGCCGCCGTGAGGCACAACGTCCTTTTGTACATCACCTCCTGAACCTTCCAAATATCTTCGCCACCCCGCATGCCTCTCTATATCCCATCAGAGGACGTCGGCCCCCATTCCGGTTAGGACAACAGATGCTCCCCCCTTGTCCAATCAATGGCTTAATGATACACCGACGGAAGATCGGAAATACGCTGAATCTCGTCGTACGCGTCCCGACGGGTCGTGGTCACCTCGGCCTCGCCGATGCCCCCACACCGCTTATTCGCGGCGAGCGTCGTCTAGTCACATTCCCGGCCCACGTTATTTGCAGCCACAAAGTACACTTTGCTGTCACATGATCTGGTTCCCATGCGCTCCGAGGGCATGCACTATAACCCCCGCTTGCCCAAGGGCGAGGGCCTCCGAACCCCTTCGGGCAGCAAAAGCGCCCGGCAGCCGCAAGCCGCCAGACTCCAACACCCCGCCCACGGATCGTCTCATCGGGCCACAAAATCGACCAAGGTCGCTCAGCCCGTCACGTTGATGCTCAGGCAGACGTCCCTCACCAGGTCGCTCTGGAACACCTCGTGGATTTTCTCCTTGCTGACGCCGCACTCGAACGCGGATTCACACACGCGGAGCGATCCCCCGTGCACCGCGCTGGTCGCCTTGGCGGCGTCCTCCACCAGCAGCGACCAGGGGCCCGTCGCCCTGGCCCTCTGGCTGCCGTCCACCCCCTCCGGGCGCACCCACCCCTTCACGGCGTCTATGTACATGTCCAGGTCGTCCCCGCAAGACGACGCCGAAACCGCCAGTCCCGAGTACACCCCGCTGGCCTCTACTAGCCCAAACTGCGGGATGTCGAGCCTCATGACATCCTGGTGGAGCACCAGGCTGTGGACCTTCAGCTCCGCGCCCTTCATGGCCACCACGGCCGTCTTCACGCCCGACCACTCGATCGACGCCATGTACTCAACCCCCCGCCAGGGGTTTGTTTTCCAGCCAGATGCCCCCATTATCTCAACGTCCCAGGACACCACAACCGGGTTCGGCCACTCCGCCGCGGTGCAAGCGATCGGGGCCATGACGATGATCCTCGGCAGGCCCTCCCGCTGCAGCGCCTCCCGCAGCTGCTCGCACGTCGCCACACGCATGGCCCACGGCATAAGCCCGTCCTGAAGCAGCCTCCGCCCGCCTCTCATGGCCGGATCGGCCATGTCTCCGATCCGTGAAGTCCCCGTCACGAACCGCACTTCCGAGCCCAGCACCGCCAGCACCGCAACACAGGCAGCCATGCGCCGCCAAACGGGCGCCATAGCTCTTCCCAAGCCCCCTCTTGCTCCGCGATGCCACCGCGCTCTCACAAACTGTCTCTGGAGAGCGCGATAGCTACCTGCCCCCTGGTTTATGCGACCCCAAGGCGACCGCCAAAAGAAACGGCTTGAAAAGCGGCGCTTTCGGCCGCCAGCGGGACTTGAGTCGGCCTGCAAATTGAGGCTGGACGCCCGGCTGGTCAGGGAACGGGCAGCGGCCCACCAATTATTTGGTGCCCGCGGGCGCCCCTCGAGGCGGTGCCAAAGATAAAACCGGGTGGGCTGTTGGGCACTGTTCCCTGTGCTTTGTTCGTCGGCGCCCGCTGTGTGTCATTTGCGATACGATGGCGCACTGAGGCATTGTACCGTGGACCGCGCCGATGCGGGCCCGGTCGATTGTGTAATGTGCCGCGGCCGGTGACAGATGACAGATTGGCGGCTTGGCCTCGTCGCTGGGGCCATTCGACTCGTGGCTTTGCCCGATGTTCTGACGCTTGCGACACGTAGGATGCTCAATGTTGATGTCGACATGGCGCTGCGCTGCGACCGGCCACAGCGGTGTCGCATGCATGGGCGGGCCCCGTGGCTTGATCCTTAGTAAGGCGTGTGGCTTACTAACTTCTCTTCAGTGCGCTGGCATGGTGCCCCGTTCTTGCGACGGCAGCTGCGATGCCATTTTGGCACTAATTGGCGCCATCACAGCGATTAGGATGTGTTGAAATCACCTCAAATCAAGGCCATTTATGCATCGGCCTCCGACAGAAGAAGCAATTAGTGAGGATTAAAAAGGACAGAAAGAGGGTTGTTTCACAACAATGGGGAGGAACTTCTAAGTGGAAAAACAATGATGGTTAAAGCCTTATAGTCTAGTTCTAATGAATACAATTTTATGCAATTTTTATCAGGAAACCATGGCCCAGGCGTGGCAGTGCCATGTATGGGGCGTGCTGACGCCAAGGCACAGGTGTGAATAAACGATCCGTAGAGTGCTAGGAAAGGCACGGAGCCATTTTTACAAGGTGTTACCAAGTACAAGGACTAACTGCAGTCGCCACAATGTCATTTCTGTCCAACTTGGCGGTGTGGACAGTGTCTCATGATGAGCTGTCCGAATGAGGTTACCTTCACGTCTGGCCCAAGAACTGATTCTCAACACTCAAGAGCCTGATCTGCGGCCGGATTCTGCACAGCACTGCGCAGTGCCCATCGCTGTCGCACTCCCTGCTTGCGGTCAGACGTGGTGCCCGATGGTGTGTACGGCCAATCGGAGCGTGGAGTGGTGGCGGATATCTAGGTTTGTTATTTACGCCGTAAACACAGATCTTATTTACGTTTTTACACGTAAAAATACGTAAAAAATGTAAATACAGAGTAAAATAAGCCCCGCGTACATAAGGACAGTGCGTACAACCTTCGGAACTCCGGAGAATGGCGTCCAGACGCACTGGAATAGGCTGAAGACGATATTTGTTCCACTCCAGCGTGGCCCTCGCCGAGTGGGAAGTGAACGCTGTGTTGCAGGCGCTTAAGGGGGCGCAGTACTGATCACTGTACGCGACTTCCATCGTGTAATCTGGGTATCACAATGAGCCGTAAATACACAAAAACAACCGCAAAAATAGCCTCTTTCACAAATTTGCGTTTTGCGCATAAGAACGTAAGCGTAAACATAAATAAGAAGCCTACGGACATCGCTTTCGGAATGGCTGCAAAGTGAAAATGCCCGTCTCGAACGCTGGAGCTTGCGCTCCGTGGGTGACAGGTGATGCTTTTGGAAGGTGGAGTCGACCCTCGAAATTTCCTTCAGAACTTCGGATCAGGAGTGGTTGATTCGGAAGTTGCACCATCCGCTTCGGGCATCCATACACGAGGACGCGATTCACAGGATGGACAGGATAGGGGAGGGAAGCTCCAGCGGATTCCAGAGCTCGATGCCGCATCGAGGCCTGCCATCGGAGGCGTATTGAGTGACGGCAAAGGCGGGCGATACGGCAGCGAGAGGATAACGATATGATATTAGAGGCAGCCGAGCTACAGATATATGATTGACTGAAAAGGAATTACTGATACGTTCAGTCAGCGACGGGATAGCATCATAGTAACGTAGGATTAATCCTCAGGCGGGCAGGACTAGAAATGATAATTGTTGGTGAGTTTTCTGAGTCGGGGTATGACGGCGCCATGGTATAGCTATACCCTATAGGGAAAGATTAAGGGTGATCTGATCCATGACAAGAACACCTATAACACGTATTGGAGGGGGTGGAATCTTTACTTAAATGAAGGTATTAAGGGGAGCTTTGGGAAAAGTACCGATGACAATGACGATGTACTGATACATTAGTTTTAATAAAAATGCGAGGCGCTCCATGGTGAGCAGGAGCTTCGCCGAGTCCGTTGATTCCTGTCTGATGCATGTGCCGCTGGTCATGCTGGTTGCCATGTCGGTGCCAGCCTGCCTCGTCCCTCTTGCGGAAGTGCTGCCCCAGTCGGTCGGGGCTCCATGTGGCTTTGTGTCGCCTTATTGTCTCCGGCAGCATCGCGTTGGGCGGAGGAGCACCCGGTGGAGTTTGCCTCCAGAGGATCTGACAGGTCGCGGAGGCGAGCACTGCTAATTATCGGTTCTACTCGGCCGTGCATTTTGGTTGTTTGATTAGACTGTGCTGGCTTTGAGGAGTTACGTGGTCGGTTATGACTCGTTGCTTTCAAGAGATGGCATGAACGTGTGTGGGGAATCGCAACTGTTTGGGAAATCATATAACCTACACAAGGTTGGGGAAATCATAATCGCGATCCTCCGAATATCATAAGACAATGTATTTCTAGTTAGGACTTTCGTGATTAAAATGCTTTTCACAATTTCCACGATGTCGACCACTCCAACACGACCTTGGTTGCCATCGCGTCAATATCCCGGAATTACCGCATGCGCATGCTAACCGATTGTGACCGATTTAAACAATCCGTTGGGTGACTTTGTGGTGTTTGCTGCTGGGAGCGCCGCATTCTCCAGTCGCCGCTGAGCGAACTGACGGGCCACAGGGTGGCCGAGCGCGCTGTCTGAAGGGATGACTTTTGCAAGGGTTGGCAAAGTTTGTGTGCCTGGAAGGCTCACGACAGAACAAATCGCGAGAGTTGTTTGACGCACCGGATCAAGCTCAAAACACGCACGGTTTTGGGCACCCTGAACCTTTTTGAATCTACAGTGCGTAATCCGGACGCTAGCAACAATGCGTGAAAGAACAGGCTGCCGCCGCCCACGGCTGAAGATGAGCTTTGCTCCAGCGATTGCTGGCTGAGGGACCCATGCACGTTGTTCGCCTTCAGACGCAATTTCCAAAGTAGCTGATGCGCACGGCAGCTTCCGCGCGTTAATTCGTGCATGGTTGAGCGCGGGTGTGGTCTTGCAAATTACAATTTAAATTTAAACAGTGTAAATATAACTTAAATTATACCTTAGGTATGCATCAATTGCGCAACGATACGCCATCCGTGCGCAGCGCTGAGATTCAGGCGCACCATTGAACTCCTCTGTCGTCCCACGATGGGACAATTCTCAGAACTGGTAGACGACAATGGGCAAGAAGCCACATGCCAGCATTGGCCTATCTGCCACAACTTGGTGCCACCAATAGCGCATTGGATTGCGTTTGTCCACCCACGATACAGCACCCTTGGATTGCGTCTATCCGTCCATGGCGCAGCACAGTCAGAGTGCACAACAGAGGCGACGACGGACGCAGTATTGAGTCTAGGCAACGGCATCTGGACGTTACGAAATTGGTGGAACGTGGCCACTCGTTGCGCTTGCGAGCGCAATTGCGAGGGTGAGATGATTGAAGCGCTCGGAATGCCCGAGGAGGAAATCCTTCGAGGCGGAAAAGTGTCAGCGAAGGTTGTACCGTCGTTGAGTTGGCACAGCGTGAATCTTGCAATGTGGGCGCCCGTATTCCGCACGTATTCATGCCCGTATTCGCGAGCGCAAATGGCAAAGTTCGATGGTGCAAAATGTGGCTAAGCGCGGCCATATCCGCTGCAATCGATGGACGTGTACGTGACACATATCTTCATTGCACTAACCAGGCGCTCGCACCTGTGCCGAGGCAAGCACAGCACACGCGTGCTCATGGGCGTGCATGGTACATTTGCATGAATCTTGTACGTGCATTGTACGGCTCTGTTAGTGGCAGACGAGCTTGGAAATGCCCGTATGCTTCGTATCTCAAAACACGGCAAGCTGGTGTGAGGCACGACGCTCTTCCGCAAGCCTCCTTCTGAGCCTTGTAAATATACTCCATGCGCCGCACACTGCTCTCGACCCCATCAGAGGACATCAGCCCCCATTGCAGTGGCGTTGAGACAACGGATGTACACATTACAGCGCGTCCAATCAACCGCCTAATGATACACCGCGGGAAAATGGAATGACGACGAAAGTCGCCGTACGCGTCCCGACGGAACGCCGACCTCGGGCCCGCCGATTCCTCAACTCCGCGTTATTTGCGGCCTGTACCGTCACATCCCCATCCTGTGTCCGCCCCACGTTATTCGCAGCAGTTTCCCGTACAGTGCGCACGGCTGTCGCATCACCGTGCCGCAACAGCACATCTGATCCTCCTCGGGCTCCCAGGGGACGGGCACTCCCGCCCCGCGGGAGCAAGAGCAAGCAGCCTCCCCCTCCTAAGCCCTTCGAGCAAGCGCACGCGGGCGCACAAAGCAAACAAAAGCGCTGGGCCGCAAGCCAACGGAATCCAACACCTCACAGACGGCCCATCTCATCCGGGAGCCGCCAAGGCCGCTGCCTGCCTAGCCCCTCACGTTGATGCTCAGGCAGACGTCCCTCACCATGTCGCTCCGCAGCACCTCCTGGATCTTTTCGTCGCTGACGCCGCACTCGAACGCAGACTCACAAACGCGCACCGTGCTGCTCCTCAGGTTGCTGCCGTACTTGGCGGCGTCCTCCACCAGCAGCGACCACGGGCCCGTCGCCCGGGCCCTCTGGCTGCCGTCCACCCCCTCCGGGCGCTCCCACCCCTCCACGGTGTCAATGTACATTTCCAACTCGTCCCCGCAAGAAGACGCCGAAACGGCAAGTCCCGAGTACACCGCGCTGGCCTCCGTCAACTTGAACTCCGGGATGTCCAGCCTGAGCTGGTCCTGGTGCAGCACCAGGCTGTGGATTTTCAGCTCCGCGCCCCCCGTGGCCACCACGGCCGTCCGCACCCCCGACCACTCGATAGACGCCATGTGCTCCGTTCCCCGCCAAGGGTTTCTTTTCCAGCCAGATGCCCCCATTATCTCAACGTCCCAGGACACCACAACGGGGTCAGGCCACTCGGCCGCGGTGCAGGCGATCGGGGCCATGACGATGATCCTCGGCAGGCCCTCCCACTGCAGCGCCTCGCGCAGCTGCTCGCATGTCGCCACGCGCATGGCCCACGGCATAAGGCCGTCCTGAAGCAGCCTCCTCCCGCCTGTCAAGCCCGGATTCACCACACCCTCGATCCTTGAAGTCCCCGCAGCAAACCGCACTTCCAAGGCGAGCATTGCCAGAACCACAGCGCCCGCGGCTGCTCGCCTTGCGAAGGGTGCAAACATCCTTCCTGCGTCCTTTCCCGGTGCGTGCGCCACGCTGCGCTCTCGCAGACCGTCTCTCGAGGGTGCGATAGCTACCACCACCCCCGCTTACGCGATCCCAAGGAGACCGCCAAAGAGCCGCCTTGAACCGCCGCGCTGTCGGCGACTAGTCCACCTCCGGAGATGGCGCTGGCGCTGCAAGACTGGTCCGGGCACGCCCAGCAGCCTGACCCACCAACTAGCCTGCAAGCGCACCGGGAGGTAGCGCGCAGGTTGAAACCTCGTGGGGCGGTGGGCGCTGCCACGCTCCCGTGCGGGCTGTGTTTGTCGGTCCCCGCCAGGTCAATTGCGATACAAGGGCGCTGGCGGCGGCGTACAGCGGACCAAGCCCATTCGCACATCGGCGAACGTGTGAAGTGATGCGGCTGATGCCACGGCGGAAGACCGCGGGCCTGGTGGCCCAACCGAGGGCATTGGAATCCTGGCTTCTCCGATCTTCCAGGCAGCGCGATGCTCGACATTGCGGGTGCCCGACGTTCGGCACTCGATGTTGATGTCGACATGGCGCTGCGTCTCGATTGGCCACGACGATGTCCCATGGCTTACTTGCCTCTCCTCGCTTTTGGCCTAAAGCGCCTGAGACCTAAAGCCTAGGCGAAGTAACACTACTGCCTGCACCAAATCGGTGACTGCTTGCACCAAATCACGCGCACACTACGTCCTAACCTCATTTTTAGGGTTAGGTTTAGTTTTAGGGTCAGTTTAGGGTAGGTTTAGGGTTAGTTTTTAGGTTTTAGGGTTTAGTTTAGGTTAGTTTTGGCGGGATTTGGTGCAAGCAGTCACCGATTTAGAACAGATAGCCACCGATTTGGTGCAGCCAGCAGTTGTATGCCGCTTCAGGCGACGAGTGGCGTCAGCGCGGCCCAAATGGCTAGTCTGTCACTAGCCGGAAAAGGACCAGCTGACACTCTTTGCGAACACATACACATGCATGCAACTCATCAGCGTTCTGCATGCTAAAAACACAATAATAACCCAAACCTGTAAATTTTGTACACGTTTGAACACGCGTTATTTGGCCCTTTTTCCCCAGTTTGTGTGACAGGTTCCGTTGTATATCTGGTCTTTTTGGCAGAAAGCGCGTGCACAGCAGGGCTTGAGCCGCGCATAAATTGACCACGCATGGGATTGTGATTCCGCAAGTAAACATCGTCAGCTGAGGAGTTTCTAATAAGGAATTCGTCATCTCACGATGTTTGTTCGTGGCATTCACGATGTTGTGCAATAGCGTCCGACAATTGCAGCCACCATGTCCCGAGGGATCGCAGATCCTCGATCTCCTGGAATAGGCGCACGCACGCGGAAGACTGGGGTCGTATGCCCTGGGCTCAGGCATCGCATCCACATCGCACAGGTGCTGGGGTTTCGTTACGCAACATAGCATTACGTCATCACTGCCAACATCCCCATCCACGTGCCAATCTTTGGGCGGCAGGCTCCAGGACTTGCGCGGCGTTCATTTCATGCACTCCGCAGTTTCAAAACTACCAACACTGGCAGTCGACTGCCGATCCCGGCAGCCACATTCTGCACCAATATATTCACTTGTACTCCTCCAACATCAGAATTCCCCAATTAACTACACCGCCTCCTTATTTTCCACATTTCTTCCACATTCTGCCAATTTTCCATTCTCTCGTCCATTACCTAATTACACGATCTCCAAGGGCCGGTCGCCCCAGCCGAAGTCCCCCCTGTGCCTGTAGTACAGCGCCCGGAGGCTCTCCATGAAGAGGGCGTGCAGACGTTCGACTTCTTGGTCGAACAACGGATGAGTCATCGGCATGGCCTTCTCGACCTTGATGGGCGGGGCGCTGACGGCCCGCACGGGGTGGGGGGCGGGGATGGGTGCTGGCAACCCCCACCTGCAGAGCACACCGGGGCTCGTTAGTCATTGTGGCCCACTTATTAAGTGCCCCCATGAAGAGGAGAATTGCCGCAACTGGAGCTTACGCAATCTGGGGGAAATGGGTACAGCAACTTGCCGTCAGCAAGGTACTGTTAGGTACTGCGTGCGGTGCTCGCTCTTCCCGAAAAGACATTTGCCCAGCAGCGCTTCGACAATGTGCGAACGAAGAGCCGAAGTTTCGCCTCACTGCAGATACGCATTGATGCAGGTTGCCACCCAAAAAGTAGATAGTATTACAGCATTTGTTTCCATTTATGCACATTTCCAGCTATATTGGCAATTTTCACTTTCATATTGTGCATTTCGAAACGTTGATAAAATTAGGGGCATTTGTTCACATAAGCTGTGTCCATGGTTTTGCAGTGCCAATCGCCGAGAAAGATGTTTGAGCATTCACAAAATCATGTCCTGGTAACATGTTCTAATCCAGTTTCGTAATGCTAAGCTTAGCAGTGGTGCCACGTCCGCCAGTATCAGTGGCGTTAAATCGGCGGGCGCCACTGACCTGCCCGTGAGGAGTCCGAGGGCGCTGCCCGTCTTCCTGGACAGCGCCTGCAGGAATTTGGTGCCTCTGAGCGTCAGGATGCAGCTGTTTCCCAGGATGTAGACGGGAATGATGTCGGCACCCGCAATCAGGGCCGTACGGACGAAGCCCTTCCGGCTGCGGAGCATCACCTGGAGGGATCCACGGTTCGTTTCACAAAATCAGCAGTATGAAAAATATCAATAATTTCAGAGTAGTGGCGGAAGAGCAGCAGCAATAATAGTGAACAAGAAGTGTAGTATTCTTCGGGTTTTGACCCTAAAATGACATTTTTGTAATGTTACTATTGCGATTCAAATTGAGATTCTTCTGAGCAAGCACCTGGCTTTGCGGCGACTAGATTCGCGAAGCCTAACGCTTCAGTTGTTCTTACAATTGCGCGGCAATGCTCAGGCGAATTTCCCAAAAGCTTGCACAGAGGGAATGTTGAAGCGGCACAGGTGATCCGATGGCAGAAACAGGCATCGACTGCAGTGCAATTTGTGCTTTTGCCTCCAGCAGAGCGCTAACCAACATAGACTCAAATTGGTCTACTGAGCGCGCTAAGCATAGCGAATATTACAGACACATATTTGGCGTATTAGCTCGACTATTATCGCCAGTTTGGCTAACATTATTTTGAATTAGCAGTCACCTTTTCTGACGCCCCTCCAGTGAGAAACATCTCCGCGACTCCCCCCGGCGCAAGCACGGCCACCTGCCCTGGCTGCCTCAAGACCCTGCCGCCCATAAGACACACAATGCACAATGTCATTCTATAACTTTGTCGTAAATTTGAGTGATCAAGAGAAACTACGTTGGGTACTTTAGTTACAAACTGATCTGATTCAATTGATCCCCGCCTTTTCATTCGTCGATGAATTGAAGTGCATTACGAAGTACGTCAAGAAGCACAGCTAAGCATAGGGCAAAATGGTACAACATGTACAATAAGCACATTAAATTCCATTAAATACGGTACGCGCTTCGAGTAAGTAACCAGCGGTGAAATGAGCGATCACTGCTGTTGCATGGGCACAGCAATTTCACAGTGAAGGCGATAGCATCATCATGCCTGTTGGGTGCTTTACCCGCATATGTTTAACGCCCAACAAGATTAAATTTTGATAACTATGCCTAACAGCCGAACGACAAATGCATATATTTGAATTAATACTGATGGGAACGTCCGCTTGATTATCCCAACTACAAAAAGCGAGCTTCTGCCGTGGGTTGGGTACTGGAACGCTTGGCGAAGTTCCAAAAACTGAATATGTAGAAACAACTACATGGCCATCTTCTGAAAACGCAATTCACAAGCCTGGTACAAAAGCCAAGTAACGTTACACCCACCTGAGAATGTTGGTCTTTGTCGCGGGCTGACCGCCCATCCACGTGATGAAGTGCTTGTACAGGGGTATCCGGAAGAGGCTGGAGCCCACCATCCCGTGGCAGGGGTGGTCGGGCACCAGAAAGGGCGTCTCAGCCCAAGTCATCATCATGCCGAAGGGGATGACGCCGTGGGGAAACAAGGCGGCCACATACGATTTGGCGGGTTCCAGTTCCTGCCAAAGAGAAGCAACCCAAATGAGGGCGTGACTGCCGACATACAGCCTAACTGGTCGCAGAGCGATGGACTCCAGAGCTCGATTACGGATAGGGTGGTTGCACCCAGATGACAGACCAGAAGTTAAGAAGGCAGCATCGCAAAGTATATGTTATACAATATACGGTAATGAATCATACAAATGGTGAAGCTATGTGGCGCCGCTCTCCTCAGTGCTCACGTGGTCCGGTGGTTTTGAACTGCACTCTGTTTTGCGACGCAGAATGACAGAAAACTGGTCGTTGAATTAGGAGCGAACTGCCAGCAGCTATCTACTGTGCGCAAATGCTCGAATTGCAAAGTTTTCATTTCGATATGAGTCAATATCTATAAAACACGTATATATAAACTGTTGGATGCGACATCGGGAATGACAATGCTTCCCACGCTTGCATGACACAGGTATCAATGGAGCACTCTCTTCATGTCGGCAGATCGACAGACTGAACATCGACGCACGGACTCTATTTCACATTTAGCAGATAACCAGTTAATTTTTTGACAGTTTTCATAAAACATTTCTCAAGTGGATGAACTGTCATTTAGCGGCTATCTGCGCACCTGCTCGATGTGATACGAGTAATGGCAGTACTCCCTCCACGCCCTCATGATCCAGCCATCCCGGAACGCCCGCCACTCGCTCGCGGGCACCAACACCGTCGACCAGAGCAGCGCCAGAATGCCCCCAAAGGGCGGGCGCCAGGCCAGCAGCAGCAGCCCGCCGAGCACGTGCATCCAAGACGACAGCAGCGTCATGGTGGCAAGGGCCACCAAATACGAAATCCAGCTCTGCTTGTGGACCGGCCCCATGCCGTCACTGTAGCTGGTTTTGCCGTAAGTCATGGGGCGGGCGGGAGATTTGGAGGGCGGGTTGTTGGGGCCACGGGATTTGGCGGGTGGGTCCTTGGGGTCCGCTGGCTGCCGGGCCACGGTCTGGCGGCGGGATTTTTTGGCCTTAGATCTTTTTCGGCCACTTCCGGATCTCCTCATCGTGTCGGTCGGAAGAAAGGCCGGAATTCACTGCAAAAAATGTGAGAATGAATAATGGTAAGTTATTGTTCGCGCTATTATTCGCATTCCTGTTAATGTTACTTTGCATTCATGTTACTTCGGCCTATCTTGCCTACAAATCGGACTCTGCGTAACGTTTCGCGCATTTGATTCAAATTACAATTTGAAAATTTTGAAATTATATAATTAGTTTAACGTCAATGCAGCAGCAGCAGCAGTGCATCGTTGCGTGCCATAGCCTACATGGGATCGATTTTTGCAGTCGCATCCCTGTTTCAGCCAATTCAACCATAGACTTGTATTCGATGAATGCAATGGTATGACAATATGATCTATCGTTTACGCATGATGTCGTTCGCCACAGTGACAGAAAATTGGGCCTCAACAGCTTCTCAGATTCAGAGTCTCGGTATCCAGGGTCGCCTTTGAGAGGCCGTTGGCAAACCGCCGCAGTCGACGCCGCCAGAGGTACCGGCTCCCCGGGCCTCCAGACTGCACTTGTCCTAAACCATCCCAAGTTCATTAGGACACCCGGGAGCATTATAGTGCTGACCTAATTAGGTCAGTTCCGAAATTCCATGCCCCCTCCCAGTGCGATCGCCGCACGTGTCGCCTCAGCGCTCCACCGCGACGCTTCACCCCGGCGCCCAATCCCTCCTTCCCCTCAAGGCGCCTTCCCAACTGCCACCTCCCAATCGACTCAGCGCCGTTTCCGGTCCCGGCGCTTGGACTCGCGCCCCTTCCCCACCCAAGACCGAATGGGCGACCTCAATCGCTCGTTTTCCACCCGATAAGAGTTCCCAATCGCGGGCGAAGACAAAAAAACACCTTCTGCCCAACCCATGAAAGCGACTCCTCTGGACGCAATTCCCAATTGGGAATTGCGTTGCAACCGACGCGGCCAGCCGACGCCATGCTGCTAAAAAGCTAAGGCACACTCCGCCTAGTCCGGCGCACGCACGGGGCCCAAAAGGGACAGCACCGGGGTGCAGCGCCGCCACGCGCCTCCGGCCAAGTGGCTCGGGCTTCCAGCGCGGTGGTCCGTGCGAAGGCCGCGTGACCTCACCTGGACGGCCTGCTCAGATTCCCCGCAGCGCCCCCACCTCCCCCTCGCCCTCCGCACGGACGGAGGGCAACGCATCGGCCCCCCTTGAACGGGCATGCGGAATAACGTACAGCAGTCAGTTGATTGAAGGGACGGCGCGGTGCCCGGAGCGCGGGTCGTCCCACGCGACATCGTGGATGATGTGACGGTCGACCCGCATGAATCAGAGTTGAGGGCACCGATCCGCATGAATCCGGTTCCCGGAAGGCGCGCCTCGCCCTTCGCATGGATGCGCAGCGCAATCCACAACGGTCAGTTCGCTGAAAAGACAGCCCCGTGGCGAAAGCCGCCCTGTCCCATGGGGCGCCATGAGCGATGTGACCGCCGATCCGCATGAATCCGCGCCGGGCGCGCCCCAGCCCGCATGAAGCCAGTTCGGGGAAGGCGCCCGCGCCCGGGCACCCCACCCGCGGGGCCACACCCTGGAGGCCCCGCAAACGCCGACCGCCCACCCATGTAGCTATAGCTACACCCGGAAGGAAGGGTCTGGCAACCTTGAAGAGGTTTCACGTCGTTTCGGCCGGCGAACTCTGGACACTCGAAAAATTGGCAGGTCGTTTTGGCCGTGCTCCGACATGGTGGTCAGCGTCTCGACAGCCGCCCATGCGGCGGGTTGGGTCCTTTTCCAGTCCGGGAACAGCATGCTCGAACAGTCGCTGGCCTGCTGCGAGGAAGGGCTCAAGACGGCCGTCCGCGAGGCCTTTGCCGCTGGCCTGGCGGCCTTCGAGTGGGCCATGGGCCTGGCGTGCTGCGCGGCCGATGGCCTTTGCGGGGGTAGGGCCGAGGGCGGCGGGAGGCTGCAGGAGGAGAGGCGGAGGTTTTGGAGCGGTCTGATGGACGGAGGGGGCGGGTCGCTGAACCGGCTGGTGCGGCAGGCGTGCGGGGAGGGCGCGGAAGGTGGGTGGGGTCTACAGGGATTGTGGACATGTGCCCCGGGATTGCAGGCGTGCCTTCAGGTATTTTGGACTACCGGGATTGTAGGCGTGTACTCGTGATTGTAGGCGTGTCTTCAGGAATTTTGGCCGTGTACACAGGTGCTGTAGACACCCCTGCAGGGGATATGGGCATGTCTGCAGGGTTGTGGAAGTGCACGGAAGAGTGGGATGGGTGAGTGCACGTCCCGCTATGTTCGAAGAGCCGCCAAGTGTCGGTAAATGATCGCAGGGAGAGCGGTTAGGCTGCCGAGATAATGGACGAGGAAGCGTTTGAGAACGAGGGCGAGTTTGTGTGCCACCGGACTTTTGCGTTTTTGTTTTTGGGGCTCGAAATCCATCACGTGATCGTTTTGGACGCGTTCTGGAGCCGCATGGAGAAGAGTATCGAAGCAGAACGGGTAAAATTCAACCAGTGCTGTTTCAGCTCGAAATACCTGCTTTTGTTGGTGCCTCTTTCACTAGGAAGAAAGTGCCAAAAAACACGTGTTCAAACGTGTACAAAGTTTACGGGTTTGTGTTGTTTTTGTGTGCTTAGCGTGCAGAACTTTGATGAGATGTGTTTTATGTGTGTTCGCAAATGTGTTATTTGGCCCTTTTTTCCTAGTGTTTGGAACTCTCTGCGTCACACTTTTGCCGTTCAAAGCTATCCAGGGGGCCCGATGAGCCTCCAGCAAATGCACCCATTTTCATCACCGCGAGGATATGTAGTGCGGGCAGCTGCCGTTTGGCCATCTTGGGGACAACACGGGAGTCAAAAGTTTCAGGAAACCGTGAGACAAGTATCTTATTTTGGAAATGCATTTCTTTGCAGATTACTGTCATGGACCGTCCTCGGCGACGTCTTCCAGCGGCGGATCGGAAGGAACGGATAATGAGTCAATAAATGACTTGAATGCCAGGGCAAAACTTCTGAGGCTGCGGTCTGGGGACACCCTGAAGAGGGCAATGTGTCGCATGCCTAGGCACCCGGCCTGCGATGCAAATGATGCAGGGCCAGGTTGGTGGATTGTGTTTGATATTAAGATTTGTTTTATAACTTTGCAATTTGCCCTGCTTATCCATTGCCTATGGTGACCCAGTCGGCATTCTATATTAGGCACTGGTCCCCTGTGCTTCCGCCAATGTGCCTTGCATTCTACTTGGAAAAGGCATATAGATGGTGAAGCCACTTGTATGTTACTTCTGTAAGTCGAATTGTGCATAGTATCTGAATAAATTCAAGCCATGCGAGGCAGAATTGGCACATCAAATTTTCAAACCAGCTTTTCCAGACCTTACACTTCCAACCCAATCATCCAACAGCTCCAGGATGAGCTTAGAAATTAATGCACGTATCCAGTGCGAAGCAGTCTCCTGGAGCCAACTGCGCCACAATCAATGATAGAAAAACTTGTTCCAACAACATGGCTAAGGTGACGCAAATGCCGTTTGAACAAGATTGATCCTGACGACTCATGATGTTTGGGCGTTTTTGCTCTGCCTGTGGATGGGCGGCAGTTGCAACGAATTAGCAGCAGTTTGTAATGCAACAGTCCAACTATGATGGGCCTTGGGCAGACCTACGACCTCGGCATTGCACAAGTCGCTGGGAATGAAGAAAATACCAAAGTGAAATTAAAAAAAAAAACTTTGGGAACGCTGCATGTAGAAATGATATGAATCATATTGTGATTTTTCAATGGCATGGACAAGACTGTTTTGGGGCTAAATTGGCACGAGGGCAAAAACGCCGCTTCAGGGAAGAAGTGACCAACTAAGTACTATGAAGTACTGAGCACTGTGCCATACTTTCTAGCAATAGTGTTAAAACTGTGTTTTAAATGCAATTCGTGGCGCACATTTTGCCTTCGAGGGCAGCCTGCCTTGAACTAGGCCTTGCCCAGTCAACCAACATATCCTTGAATCTAATCAGTCCAATATTCTACAGTATTCGACTAATGTATCTTTCAATATATCTTTCAGTTTTTCAAAAAACTGCAAGTGTTAATCCAAGTAAATAGCCCAGTTTGTTTCTAGCCCCGCCGTGTAACCAAATGCCTGCCGCGAAGCGGCCATTGGTGTTCCGTTCAATATGCATTTGACGACAGCGTCTCACACGTTAAATAAAAGTTGCTTCCATTTACACTCGTTAGCTAAGCTTCTCATCAAAGGGCACAATTTTCTGGCGGATGTTCAGGTCGGGGCAGAGGGCTTGTCGACGAATGCCACATGGGCATCGAGATATTGATCATGTGGGCGTTCCGGCTCCTGCGCCTCATTTTCTGTGCGAGGCGTTCTTTCACATTTGATGGCGGAATGCGGAAAATGTTTCCAGAATTGGATGATGGAAACTATTTGGCGAAACAGAAGGTGTGGACACGGATGTAGGATGCGGTGGACACACGATGTGGAAGTGTGTGAACAAATTTGTATTGCATTTCATAGATTATCGCAATAGGCTGTTCCTCACTTCACTGACATGCGTCCAGTGTCGGGCAAAATTGGTTGGAAATCAGTGATCTTCCACTCTGCATGCTGTGCAAGCTTTGCGCACCAATTCGTTATATTACCAGTGCAAAATCACAAATATCACAAATATGTTTGTGTAATGCGAACAGTCCGCTTTCCCGTTCAGTTGCAGCACACAATGCAGCTGGGCCATTCAGTACATTCATTTCCGTTCCAGCATAAAATGTGTCGAGTTCAAAGAGGCTTCCGCTGTGTTATGGTTATGATCTGATTGTTTAGTCTGTGGACTGAATATTACCGGAGAAGGGGTAATCTTCTAATGAATCGGAATGAGAGCGGGGACAGAGCAGTCCCACTTTGTTGCCTAAAGCACAGTGGATTTTGGTTGATGTCGATCAGTAATGTCATTACGATGGAAAGCTGCCCGTGTACGTCCTTGCGCACATTTTGTATTGTACCCGAAAACAGTGTTGATTCTTATTCGTATCAGTTATTACTCCACAAATATTCTTTATTGGGAATTTTTTGGGTACATCCAGTTCATTTCATAATGTATTCCGGCTAGTTGCAGTCTCAAGCGTGGCGTGCAAGTTGCTTTTTGAAAAATATGAAACAAATTTACTGCATATCGCATAATTGTTTTGATAAAAAAAAGCAGTAAACAGATGTATTAAGTGTTGCCATTCACAGCGTATTTCGTCACGGGCCAAGGCTGATGTCCCTCAGTGTTCACTTCGCAGGCTTCCCCATTTCCTCTGGTTCCTAGATCCTGCCGAAGCAGGATCGCCGGAAAGTTTCAAGTCACCGTATACGTATATACCGCATATGTATACATGCATTGTATTCCCGTGCAAACACATGAATTTGCATGCGATTTTTACCACGCTTATCCCAGGCAAAGGGCGAACTTCGCAAATCTTTGCACCCCCTCCTCTCCCCTCGGCTTGCAGGTAGCTCCAACAGGGCGGTGGTAGTTTGCCTCACCAACTAGATCAAATGAACATGCCGAAGTAAATGAATGTGCATTACGAATCGAACCTTGTCTTCCGCAGGCGAAGGGCCACCTTCGCGATGCTACTAATCCCCTCCTATCCCCCCGGCTTTGGAGATCTTGCCGGGGCGTCACGACGGCCGGCGACCTCATCTCCAAGGCGGGCTACCCGCTGGAGGAGCACCGGGTCAGGACGGCGGATGGTTACGTAATCACAATGCACCGGATCCCAGCCCGGGCCTCAAGGCGCGCCGTGTTCTTCATGCACGGCATGCTGGACTCGTCCGTGTGCTGGGTGAGCAATGGGGTAATAAAGTCGCCGGCGTTTGAGGCGTACAATCAGGTGAGGTGATCGGGCATTGGCTGAAATTATCGATGTATCAAATTTGGGACACTATTACTACTTTTGATGTACATTAGATCATACACACCGTAGACAATGTGGCAAATGGCAATGGTAAATACTACAGAAATACAACATATGTGAATAATATGGGGTGTTTATGTAGGGTTTTTTGCGATGTGTATACACTGCTCCTAAGAACAAGATAACAAGTAGGCGTGCAACATATCAGTAGTCGTGTACCGGGACCCCAAAATGGGTGGCAGATTCTAGTAGTGGGTTATGGATACCAATGCAGCTTAGACCCCTGATCCAAGGAGTAGGCGAAGAAAATTTTTGAAATATAAATCATCAACAAAATCCGTCGATTACATTTGCCATGAAATGGCAAAACACAGCCCTTGCACCCCTAAAGGGTCCTTGCCCTTAAGAACATAGATCGTGAAATGCCCAAAAATGGACTTGAAGCAATGTAAGATGCGTGCATATGTAGCAGCATCACCAAGTCCAAGTTACAAATAATAGACACCACATTATTGACAACACCATATTGTTAGTGAACAACGCTGTTACTGAAAGTTGTTAGCCCCCGCATGGGAGCCAGCGGCCTGGACTTGGGGGGCTGCACCAGGGGCGTGCGCTGGTGATTGGGGCCAACAGGGGGTCCTTGGACTGCTCGGGGCGCGTTTGCCTCCGCGATGCAAAGAACAAGGACCGACATAGCCCGCAAAACGCCGCAGAGGTAGGGCCCGTCCACAATTCGCGGGGCTGCCATTCCCAAAACCCATGGGTTTGTTGTGTGATTGGCCAAACACAGGTCCCATCAGCTGTCCCAGTCGGCATCGTCCTGGGAAAGCACCGGGGCCAAGTCCGTTGTCGCGATGCGGCGCCCTGGCGTGTCTAGGCCAGCTCGTGAGGTGCTGTCTCACAACGGTGGTCAGCCCGACCAGCGCCGTCGCCTGCCCGTTCCTGGCGCTGGGCCTTGGGGCGCCCTTGGCAGGCGTCAGCGGAACCCGCTCTGGCCAGTCCGGGAGCAGGTGGACTCAATCTAGATATTAAGGCGTCTCGATCGCTTCTCTGGTCGCGATCGATTAAGGCGTCTCGATCGCTTCTCTGGCTAGCGGCGTTGGCCACCCAGCGATCCTGTGCTAAAAGCCCAAACGGCAGCCGGTCAACCCCCCGGCCTTTTGTAGGCATCCCGCCAAATTCTCCCTCAACGGCATCCAGGCCAACCGGATCGTCATCATCGATGTGCGAATCGCTAGGAACGCGGTTTGACCCAGAGTGGGCAACGCAGCCCAACACCAGCCGCCGACACCCCTTTAAACCACCCGCACCTTCCTTCACTTCTGCTCTGTTTTGAGGATCAAGGGTGGACACTAACACTGGGGCATGAATAATAACGTGGTTTCGATCCCAAAAAAGAGCATGGATACTAATAAGGGGTGGATAATAATACCGGGTGAAAGCATTTTGGCTTTGTTGGATGAGGGTGGCAAAGTCGCCTGCGTTTGGCACTGGCAGTGCCGCCTGCAGGAGTCCAAAAATTTCGCATTGATGTCCCAATGTCGCAGCGGCCATTTGGATACAATTTGTCTTCAGTTTTCCATGCATTGATCTGAGTGTCGTTGTTTCCACGTTTGGATGCCCTGGCAGCGGGGGCTGAGCCGAGTGGAGGTCAGCTATTCCACTGGAGGGCTGCTCTCTGTTGACTAACCCACGGACTCGTACAAAATGCTCCCTGCAGATTTTCTAGTTGGAACAAAATAGAACTTTGACAGAAGCGTTCTTTTGACTTTCTGGTCGCTGCCCACCAGGGTTTTGATGTGTGGCTGGGAAACTCAAGGAACACGCCACCCCGGGAGCACGTGGACCCCTCCATCCAAAACTCCCTCAAGTACTGGGCCTTCACCGTGAACGAGCTGGGCGAGCAGGACGTGCGGGCGTTCGTCGACTGTATTCGCAAAATCAAAGCCGCCGAATTGGGGTCCACGTCATCGCAGCCACCAGAGTCAGAAGTTTCCGGGAAGTGCAAAGACGGAGAGTTTGAATTCTGCCGTTTTCCGAATGCGAGTGACAAATTTTGGAGCGGAATGGAGATGGCGGAGATAGTTGGAAGGGCAGGTCCAATCAAGTAAGTAATACAAGGAAGGCGGTGGTTGCATTTGGGGATGGGGTAATTGAAAAAGCAAGGCACGATAATTTGTGGAAAACACTTGAGGAGCAAATTGTACTGTGGTTACCTCAGTCATGAAGAACAGCAACGCCACCCCCTTGCTGACTCGTGGCTTTGCTGAACAGCTGTTCGTTTGACTCAAAATCTGTCAGTTGCTTCCATTTTCTGTCCATGTTCAACCAATTGCAAATTGCCCAAAACGAGCTCCAAATGATGTAAACCATGACACAAGTTTCTAGAACCCTGCGGTCACAAACCATCGTTTAGATGATACTTTTACCAGTGCTGGAGAAGGTGGAATAGCTGGAGCTTGGATGCATTTGCGGAGGCCATCCAATGAATATAAAATGGGTGTTGTGCGGTGCAGCAGGACTAGCGATAGTGATGCCAGGGTCAATGGAAGGCCGCACGACGGGTTAGTGGGAAATAGACAGGGGAGCGATTGTTCAAGTGGCTTTCGGTTTCAACCAGATGTCGGGTGCCAGCATGCCGCCCACAGGTCCCTGAAGGCCCGGCCTAGGGGGAGACAACGGCGCAGGAGATCGATGGGAAGGGGAAGCCAATCGAACCTGCAAGCTTCTGGTGTGACTGATCCGGCCAGCCAAGAATGCTTGATGCGCCACCACTCAATGTCCTTCATCAGTGAAGGTGACTCTTCGGCAAGGCGTTTGAAGAATCAGACGCGTTCAAACAAGCCAGGCTTGGGTGAAGCTGGGCACAAGCAGCCACAGATGCACGAGAATTGCAGGAATGGCGAAGACCAACTGAGTGCTGGAGAGGGCTTCTTTACGCTGAACGCCGTTGGCCACAGCCTGGGGGCTGCCTCTCTGCTCATCTATGTCATCATGTCACGCCGATCAGGCAAGACCCATGGTCTAGACCGACTCATCCTATTGGCACCAGCCGGGTTCCACGCCCACCTGCCTCCTATGTCCGCCCTTGCCTACTACCTCCTGAAGCCCGCGGCATGGCTCCTGACAAAGGCCCTGGGACTGCCAGGATTCGGCGTTCAGATCCCCAGCGCCCTGGCCCGCCTGGTGGCATTCAAATTCCTGCACGACTTCAGAAAGCTCCCCGCCCTTGGAGACATCGTTGGAAGGTTTGCCGATTTGTTGACCAGCGGAGACGGTAGCTCCTGGGGTAGGGCCGTCTGCTCGCCACACTATCTTAGCAGCTTCACTCCTGGAATTTCACTCCACACGGGGCTTCACATTGTGCAGTGGTTCCACACCGGAAGGTTTGGAATGTACGACTACGGCAACCCGGTAGAGAATTTGGTGCACTACGGATCGCTAAGGGCTCCCGATCTGGGTGAGGAATACGGGCTGATAGACATCCCTGTGGATTTCATGTCTGGGACGAATGACGGAGTCATATCGAGGTTAAACGTCCGAATGCACATGGAAGCTGCGCAGAGGGGAAAGCTGAAGTGCACTTATCAAGAATTTGATCATAGTCACCTGGACTTCGCGTCGACCATGAGGGAGGAGGTCATGCGAGCGGTGATGGCGAAGATGACGCTTAGTTAGGCTTTCGGGCAACTTAGCTCCAGGTACATTCAGGCACCACCCTGTGGTTGTACAAGATGACATTAGTCTGTTCTCCATACATGATGCCAGTTGGTTACTCGTTGTACTTAGTGGCAGTAATTGATGGCAGTGCATATTGTCCTCAAACGCGACACTACTGTGTCTGCATCCAGATTGTAGATCTGTATTACTGCGGCAGCAATACATGACGATGCACTGCGAATCATTAACAGTAGGTTGTTAACTTGCACATATATGCATCGTATTTCCGTACACGATCGATTTTCTGTTCGGTACAAATCCCCGGTCTAGACATCTTATTCACCATTCGTACTTCAAAACTAGTCTGCAACATCCTCTCGAAAATCTCTTGAGCCACCCAGTCTTTCACATGAAGCTGCAAATCTACGCATGCTAGCTGCTATCCCAGAGGAGGGGCCAGCAACATATCCTGCACAGGGCGCCTTGAACACTGCGTTAACAAAAGAAGGCACAGGTCGCTACTGCCAGATCCCCGTTTCCTGATATCAGATATCTGATATCAGATATCCCCGTTTCCTGATATCGGATCGATCCGACGAGTCGCAGTAGAGGACTCAGGAAGCCCATGAGAGATGCTGTCAGGCCTCCAATGAACTTGTTATGATTTCAAACGATTAGGTGCAGCAGAAGCAGCGGCAAGAAGGCGAAGCGTTCAAGGCACGGGTACAATCTCGCTGGTGCGAGCGGCTGGGCCGGTTCGCTGTTCGGCTCTGACGCTGCTGGCCATTTTTCTCGTCTTTGCGCGGCTTTCCCATCCACAGTCGTGCGCCAAGTGTATCTACGTGTACCGATAGTGATCCGTGCTTGCAGTTCGTGCAAACAACCCCTTTCTGCTTCCCCCAAAGCATCGACTTGCAGAGCGCCCTCGCGGGAGCCAGGGCACCATGACCTGGTGCGAGAAGGGGTCCGTTTGTCACCAAGGAAGAGCGATAGAGTTACAGCGATGTTGGCGGCCCTTGCCACCTAACTTTGTGATGCGCTTCCTGTCAACTTGCTGAAAGCCTCGAGCATGAGCAATCCATTAGCATTTCTGCCCCTGATGCCATTAGTCTTAGCGCATAAATTATGACAGCCTATCAGTGGTTCAGTTCTACCAAATCACGGCTAGTGCTTGGTGTCCACGTTGCTGTAGCTCCATACAAGTTCTTGACGATGGAGCACATCTATCCTTGGATGCTGACACAAGAATATTTAACTGTTCTTGATATATTGGACGTTGAACACCGTGCCGCACCCCTGCCCATTATGATCAACAACTGGTGAACGCGACACTGCAGAGACAGGTTGCCGGCTTTTCATGTTGCCGTCTCGGCTGCTGGTGATATCGCGCGAAGGATTGTTGGACTAAGGACTAGATGGCGGGGCGGGGTCCTATACCCGGGGTTGCGATCCCAAATTGATCCCACATCAACGTTATCTGCTACCCGTATACGGCATATTTCCTTCCTTGTGGTTTATTGGCACCAAGATGTCTGGGAATTTTCCTCACGCCCAGAATCCTTGACCTGCCGAGCCTAGGACCAAGTGCCTTCAATGCACGTCAAGGCGGTAGTCAATGACGTGCAGTTCCTCTCAAATACGACCACGGATCCCCAAGCGGACTTCATACAAATGCTTCAACTCGAATTTTAAACTCGTGTAATGAACAAGTACTTTAGAATTTTTGGCCCCAGAATGTTGGGTTTATAGTCGAAACCTCTAAAGGACTTGCAGTAGTGTCAAGAAATTTCAGAGTCCGGTATTCAGATTCAATTTCCATTTTGCCGCTCAGCTACAGAAGTACCCTTCACCGGCGGCGGATGTGCTTCCAATTTCTTTCCTTTGGAGAAGCTCCATATGGCATTCCTTTCAGAGTGAATCACGCGCGTCTCATAGTTAGCTACTGGTAGTCAGTTCTAACGCATATCTCAATGTATGGTATGGCTCGGCAAACCGTTAAAGAATTAATGCATCCGGATGCATTCATTTATGAATCAGTGGAACCGGACTGCTGTAATGATCGTGTTATGTGCCTCTGTTGAGCTGAAATCGTCTCGCAGTATATGCCAGATGGTATTCCTATCGACCTGCGCTGTCCCTTGAGGAGAAAAGGCCCAACCTCCGGGGACGTCCCCAGGGACGGCGGGGACATCCCCAGGGACGCCCCCGAAAAGGGAGGGGAAAGGGAGGCCGTCCCCGAGTTCCGTCCCCAGCCGGCAGAATGATTCTGTCCCCAGCGTCCCCACATACCCACGTCCCTGGGTGTCCCCAAAATCCGTTGCCGCCCGATGGCACAATGCCGTCCCCAGCGTCCCCACAACTCCACGTTGCCGGGCGTCCCTGTTACAGCCAGGGGCCTCAAGAGCCCCCCAATTGGAGGGGGAAGGGGGGGGGGGGGAGAGCCTCCATCCCTGGGTCCCCGCGTCCCCACGGGGACCAGGGACCTCCTGCCCTCCCGCCCCCACGTACCCGCAGGGGACAGAGACCTCAAGGGGCCCCCAAGGGAAGGGGGAGGGGGGAGGAACCGTCCATCCCCGCGTCCCCGCATCCCCACGTCACCACGGGGGGGCCTTGAGGTCCGTGCCCTCCCGTGGGGACGTACGGGACGCGGGGACGTGGCGATGGACGGTTCCTCCCCCCTCCCCCTTCTCTTGGGGGCCCCTTGAGGTCATAGGCTCAGTGGGGACGTGGGGACGCGGGGACGGACCTCCCCACCCACCCACCCTTCCCCTCCCCTTGGGGAGGGCCCCCCAAGGGGGGAAGGGGGGGCAGAAACGTCCGTCCCCACGTCCCCGCATCCCTGCATCCCCACGGGGAACCAGCGGCCTCAAGGGCTCCCTAAGGTAAGGGGGAGGGGGGAGAACGTCCGTCCCCGCGTCCCTGCATCCCCACGTTCCCACAGGGGTCCAACGGCATCAAGGGCACCCCAAGGGGAAAAGGAGGGGGGGGGGGGACGTCGGTCCCCACGTTCCCGCGTCCCCACGTCCCCACGGGGGGCCCTTGAGGTCCATGCCCTCCTGTGGGGACGTGGGGATGCGGGGGTGGACGTTTCCCTCCTCTTGGCGAGCCCTTGAGGCTGCTGCTCCCGTAGGGACGTGGGGACGCGTAAACGCCCCTCCTTGGCCACCCAGCGACAAATTTCGGCGACGCCCGGTGACGTGGGGTCCTGGGGATGCCGGGACGTGAGGCCTCTGCCAGGCGGGGACGGAATTCGGGGACGCCTGGTGACGTGCACTGACGGGGACTCTGGGGACGGAAACCGCCCTCTGCATGGCGACGTCCCCACCCCAGGTCGGCGACGTCCCCACATCCCGTCCCCGGGAAAATCCAGGGACGTCCCCAGATATTGGGACTCTAGTGCCTTCAATGTTGGGCAAGCAACCCAGGGCGCGATTAGTCCACGACTTCAAATTACGCAAAGCGATGTGAGTAATGTATTTTTTGAAGAAATCATGCAAATATTGAAGAAATAGTTTCTCAATTGTACAAGCAATCTGCTGTCCCCGGACCAGACTCAGGGCGCGCGGTCAGAGGGAGAGTCGACGTGATGCATGGTAGAATAACATGCCCGTCGAAGGGCGGGCGTCAAACCGACAAGGGAAGAACGTCGGTTGGGTTCCGGTTTCAGACAGATGCCGTGAGTCAACGCTTACCCCACAGGTTCCCTAAGGCCCGGCTTCTGGGCAGACCACAACGTGGCAGATCGATGGGGAGCGGAGGGAATCGAATCTACAGGTGTCTGGTGAGCCTAAAGCGGTTGCCCAAGATTGCTGAGCGCGACGGCATCCCAGATCCTTTATCCGTGAATCTAGGGAAGGTGACTTGCAAGCAACGAGACTCGCCAAGGAGGCACACCAGTGCTTGGGCGGTGCTGGCGACGAGCTCACCCAGCCATCATAGCTGATCTATGCCCAGGCGGCAGGACTTGCAGAATGAAACCAAACATGAGGAAGCACGTCTTTGCTGCTAAAACGCCGTTGGCCACCGTCTAGGCGCCGTTTCGCCGCTCATCTGCGTCATCATTTTCCGCCCATCTGCCTGCCCCACGGCTTAGACCGACTCAAACATATTCGTGCCCTTGGGCTTCCGTCCCCATCTGCTTCGAATGTCCCCCCATGTCCACCACCTTCTAACGCACATGGCATGGCTGCAGACTACTGCATTCGGCGTTCAGGTCCCCATCACCTTAGCCAGTTTTGGGGCGTTGAAGTTCCTGCACGATTTCCACAAGCTTCCACCCATAGGAGATGTTGCGAGACGGTTTGATGATTGTTAAGCGGTGGAGGCGGCACCTGGGGAAGGGCCGTCTGCTTGCCACATTGCCTTGGCAGCTTCACGTTGCAAATCTCGATCCGCGCGGATCTGCGCATTGTGCGGTGGTTCCGCACCAGGAGGTTTGGCATGTGTGACTACGGCACACCGGTAGAGAATCTGGTGCACTGCGGATTGCTAAGCGTGCCCGATATGGGTAGGAATACGGACGGATAGACACTCCAGTGGATTTTATGTCGGGGACGAATGACAGCAGGCTTGATTTTTACGCTGTAAAAGCTGATCGTATTTACGTTTTTACGCGTAAAAATAGTTTTTACGTTTTTACGCGTAAAAATAGTTTTTACGTTTTTACGCATAAAAATAGTTTTTACGTTTTTACGTGTGAAATGCGTAAAATTACGTAAATACAACGTAAAAGCTGTCCGGTGTACATAAGGACAGTGCATACAGACTTACGGAGTCCGGAGAGTGGCAGCTAGGTGCCCTGGAAGGGGCAGAAAACGAGTTTTCGTTGAGCGCCATCATCGCCCTAGCCAAAGCCGAGGTGGACATTGTGTTGCGGGTGCTGGAGTTGGCGGAGGAATGATCACTGTACTCAACTTTCATCGTATAACCTGGGTGTCCAAGGGAGCCGCAAAAACGTAAAAATAGCCGTAAAAATAGGTTCTTCTGCAAATTTACGTTTTTATGCGTAAAAACGTTAA